CAACAAATAGTCATTATTTTCTCACTTGAAGACATTTTCAAGCCCCACCTTTTTTAGGGAAGTTCTAAATTAGTATTATCTTTCAAATGCAGTTGGAATTTAACTTTTTCATTTTTTGGCCTGCAAATGGGACATAGTACCTTTAAACTTCTTTTTTTTGTAAACAGCCCATATGCGGATCTAGGCCTGATCATCTGTAAATATTTAATTTAAAATAGCATTACAATTATGTCATATTTTAGCATTTTACTTAACCAAAAATATCATGATGTAATATACAAATATACAGTGCCTTGAGAGGTTCTGGTTAAAACTATGCGCAAGAGGTGACTCCAATAGTACTATTTGCTGAGGGGCGCAGCCCCGAAGCAAATGGTACTTTTGGAGTCACCGAGGCCCATAGTTTAACCAGTACCTCGAATAGAAGGCATGGTATATTTGTTTTATATCCTGCATCAAAAATTTATTTAAAAAAAAAAAAAAAAAAAAAAAAAAACTTTTTGGGAAAAAAAATTTAGAACAAAAAAAATGTCAATTTTTATCTAAGAAGATTTAAAATATTTTATTTTCATTAAATTAAGATTTGAAAAAAAAAATTGATTCAATTAAAAAAAAAAATTCACATTTTTTTTCAACTCCCAAATAGTAAACCAAAATAGTACTCTCATATAGTACTTTCTAAAAATAGGTCAAATATTTCTGGTCATGTGACGAGCTCTCAACCAATCAAAAGCCAACAAATTTTTGATGCAGGATATAATAATAATTATGATAGAGGGAAATAGAATTCAGATAGCACTTATACGGGCCTACAATCCAATCCAATCCACAAGATATTTGATATAGCGCCTTTTCCTTGCAGTTACAAAGCGCTGCACACACGCTCCACAATGTTTGGGTCACTATACAATATAGACACCATCTTGCCAATGGCAGTGGTATAATAGCTCGTCTGTAAGCCAGACTAACCATTGCAGATAATGTACCTTTTATTTACTTTTACAACACGATTTAACCTTTGATCATGCTGGCTTTCAGAAAACATCCGCAGTGGGGAGACGGTATAGCATTCATGTACACACACAGATATGCTATATAGTGCATTACAGCTGTTTTATGCACTGTTGACTGACTTACATCAAGGATTACGAAACACCAAAGAGCAGTCGGCAAAAATAAAAATGTAAGTATATAGCATGTATAGGTAGATCTATAGTCGACATAATTATTGTATACGATTCTTGTGATGTCTTTTTACGTGAGGCGGAGTTAACCGTAAACTCGACCAAATACAAATTCGGCCGCCAAAATCTCGTTCAGTTAAACAACTTTGATCCTGATCCTTCGCGCCCCCCCCCCCCTCTTTCTCTCTCTCTCTCTGTTTTATTGACATCATTAGTATGCCTCCACCCCTCTGATTCATATCTCTTTAACGTTCTTTAATCCTCTATGTTTACGTTTGTTACAAATCAATGCACTGAATACTTCGATTTCATTTCATTTCCACTTGCTGTAAAATCTCTTTCATCAATCAGCTGCCGTCTCTAAGTTCACCAAGTTGTTGCCATGGAGATGTCTGGAGAGAAGATGAGAACCCTTGAGATGAAACCCTTGGTATCTGATCTTGATTACTACGCGGAGGCTTACCGAGTTTACGCGGGATTCTCTGGCCAAAAACTCAAGACTTATCAGAAATGGGCAGACGATGTCTTCATTCCGACAGCAGTGGACAAGCTCCATGGATCCTTTCAAGGAGCTGAGGAGTTCAGGATCCTCGGGATTGGGAGTGGAGGAGGTATTTATTTATTTATTTATTTATTCATGATTTCTTTTAACAGTTCCACTGGAAGCCGGTGGATCTGCTTTTCAAGAAAGCCCTTCATAATACAATGACAGTATAAAAACATAAGTATAATAATACAACAATTAAAAATTGTACATACATGTCTAATATCAAATAAAAAAAATAATTATATCTTTTAAAAATAAGACTATTTGAATCATACAATATTTATGATCAATTGAAAAAAACTAAAAGAAAATGAATTATTACAATAGCAAAAGCACACCTAAAACAAAACACCCAAACAAACAGAAGAAGAAAAAAAAACCCACAATAAATAAAATAGAAATACTAAAGTATTTTGTCTCTAGATAATAGGGGTTCGTAAGAAGAAGATGGGGCATTTGATAATAAACTAGATCTTCCAGACGGTGCAAGATTTTGTACGGGGCACATGATGCCACATGCAGGTTTTTCAAAATTGTCTGACAAGCAGGTCTGATAAAATGCATTCCGTTTTTAACGGGCGGTCCCCACCCGACACCTTCTCTAAGATTCGCCTGCAATTATTGCTTCGAATCATTCCGAAAAAATCCTCTAATTGACAAACAGATGTACTCAGATTTAAAATGAACGGATTTTTATTTTCCCACTCTAAATGTTACTGGATGTTTACACGCCTTTTTCATGCTATTTTTGTTATCCTTATTTTGATACATCTGGATTTCTGCACGTTTAATTCCTTCGCATGAAAATTGGATGCCTCCTATGTAGTTCGCTTCTCCTAAACCGTTGTTGTCTTTCAGGTGAGATTGATGTCTGTCTTCTAGAGCGGCTATCATCCAGGTTTCCGTCCATCACTAACACTGTCATCGAACCTTCAACAGAAGCAATCACCAGGTATACAGCTCTCCTCCAAGAGAAAGAGGCCAACCTTCAAGGGGTCAAAACTCAGTTTAAGCAGACGACCATCCAGGAATTTTGCGCGGAAACAAAAAAGGCGTCAACCGGCGATTCGCGCCCAAAATTTCACTTCATCCACGCGATCCAGAGCTTGTATTATTCGGATGATTTGAATGGTACCATTTGGGATATGTATGAGATGCTTGAAGAAGGAGGAGCAATGCTCATCATTATGATGACGGGTGAGTTATGGTCATGTGACCTATTGGGAGGGAGCCATTGGTAAAGTTTCTTTTGCGCCAAGCTTTCTTTCTCCATCCAGTGGATTTGTCGGTAAAGACAATAGTTAAAACGAAAGTCCAATCGGCAATGGCCGTTGCACATTTACTGGGGGCTCTATTATGAATCTTTCACCGTTTGAAATGGATATAACTTTCTTAAATTCTGTTATATCTATATTATTTGGGCCATGATGAACATAATATATGATAACTATATATTACGTCTCGAGATGAGTCATTTGTTTTTGTTTTTGTTTCTGTTTTTTGCACTTTTGGCAGATGATCACATTTTATACCGAATGTTGGATAACTTTCCTTTCCTCGTGGGACAGAAAACGCCATCCACCACGAAGTTATCCAGCAAAGACATCACGAAAGCTCTCGAACAACTCGGACTCGCCTACACCTCGCACACAGTCAATACCCGCACCGAGGCGAGCTCTTGTTTCAATCCGGAGTCCGAGGATGGGAATAAAGTCCTGGATTTCTTAACCAACACTGTTCGATTCAGGGACAATGCACCACCCGAGATATGTGACAAGGTTCTAGGGTTCCTGCGAGCCATCTGCCCATCGTCTGTTCCTGATGAGACAACGGACGAGGCAAGAGAAGGGGTTGTCGGAGGGGAGTATAAGACGCAGAAGAAGTTGCTTTTTATCAGGGACGCGCAATCAGTCATTGTGTTTCGCCAGGATACAGATGGAGCTTTACAGAAAAGTGCTATGAAAATGTGACTGACTGTACAGCACAAAAGGGTTTGTCAAAGGATAGTTCTACCAGGCAAAAAGCGAGTACAATAATATTGAATGACGAGAGAACGAAGCGTCTGCAAGTGTTGTCGATCAGAAGGGCTATACCTGAAAAAATTTACACGTGACATTTCTTAATTTGACTGCATGGGGGAGCTAGGCCTGGGTACTCACTGTACCACACTAAAGTGAAAACATAAACAGCATATTCTATTTTTCGGGAACAGTTAAAGTTTATGAATGCAATTTCGACCAATCAGATTGCTGGATTACTTAAGTGAGGTATATAACATATTCTATTGGTCTTATTCTCACAAAAATTATATTTAAAAGATTTGAAAGGAAATTAATAGTATCAGTATTGTGTAATTCTATCAAATTGTCACGACAATGCGTAATTGTGAAATATAGGCCTTTCGAGAAAGGAAGAGTAATTAGAGAAATGTTAAGTTTATGTTTAGTATTCATAATGAACTGAAAAGTAAAGACGATTGCATTACGTCTTATCTACTCATTTCCTTCCTTGTGTATGGGCTTAGTGAACGTGTTACCACCAATTAAATAATGTGTTTCTGTCATGTACATGTACCTTGTTAGAAATACAACATGTATGTGGGTCGGCAGCTCACTGGAGAACTAAGTGAAATAATAAACATGCAAATGGTGATTTACTAATTATGCTCAAATTAGACTCCCTGGATAAAGATTGACTATGTATATATTGTGCGGCGGCGGATCCGGGATTTTCCAAAAGACGAGGCGGGGGGGGGGGGGGGGGGGGAGGCCATTGTGTGGGGTCCATGGGCGGAACCCCCGGATTGCCTCGAGTTTTAACAATTCAGAATATTCAAGATAGCCGTCTTGAGCTATAGAAATTATAAGCCATTCCTTGAAATTTGTACTGCTCCTATAATTTTGTTTATTTCGTTGGAAATCAACCATCACACACTCACAGACTCTCTCTTAAGGACAATTATAACATAGTAAAAAAAGGGTTGTCTGGCGAATAGGGGTGTCTAGGGCCCGCCATAGATCATTTTTGAGTTGCAGGGGAAGAGCCCCCCCCCCCCCACGGACGCCCTCAAGTTTTTAACAATGTAGAACCTTCAAAATGGCCGTCACTAGCGATAGAAATTCACGCAGCACGTATCATTTCATTTCGTTAGAATTAATCTCTCTTTCTCTCTAATATCATATCACTTTTTCTCCCTACCTCCCCCCTTTTTTCCCCTCTCGCACTCTCTCTCTCTCTCTGTCTCTCTCTCTCTTTCTTCCTCCCTTTTGCCCATTTTTTCTCTTTCTTCCGTCGCTCTCTCTCCCTCCCTTTTTGTTAATGGGCTGCCAAAAGGTGGGGTTCGCGGCCGATTCGGCCCCTACCTGGATCCGCCACTATTGTACATAATTATTGTTCATACACGTACATGTATATAGGTCAGTTGGCGTATAGTTGAGCCAAACTAAAAACTATAAGGGGTCAAAGACGGAGACTGCAAAATTTGGTGGAAGATCGCCCTCATTTGTGAAAATGTTTTAGTTGTAGGATGGTACCCTACCCTGCTCAGGTACAAATTTGGGAGGGGGGGGGGAGGGGTACAGTTGTGTTCCTCAGGCAATTCCATTATGCGAATTCGAGCTTAGCTCACGAATCTATAAACTGAAAATTTGTCATAACACACTGATCCATTTACTTTGAGAAGACAGACAACAGACATTGCCACCTGCCTGAGATATCGTCAGCATATCTTTTTCATTGTGATTAGTCCTTGATTTTGATCAATAAAAACTTTAATTAAAATAAAACATCCCGAATGGCTAACTAGCGATCGGTTAAGGGTCAGCGTGGAGGTGTGACGGGGATATAAGGTGCATGCATTAGTGGCTTACACTTAATCTGAAACGAAACTAGTTGGCATGAACACAATAACTACTGTTAAATATCTAGGCAATCATATTTCATAACATCTCTATGTTTTATACGTTTTGTATTGTATGTCCTGCTTCGGCATTTATGAGCCATGATCTGGACTTTCTTATTATAATATGTCTGTGATTGTGCAATTCTTTTATGTTTATACTATGTTCCTTTATTGAAGATTTACAATAAATTGATACAAAATCCACACAAAACGCCACTGATGAAATCTGATTTTCTTGATCAATCCAGCGCCATGATTATTGAAAACATGTGATTCGATATACTTAACCGTCGAACCTTGATGTTCCAAAAATAATACATTTCTAAACCAAGGACGTTAACAGCTAGGCGGGGAACAGGGGCACGTTTTCCCCTGCCAAAATATCTTGATCAGAACCATAATTAAAAAGCAAACCGTCAAGTAAATGTCTGGATTTTCGGTCAAAGCTTGTATCTATACTTGTATGTGTCTGTATTTCTACATGAATTCTGTGCAGAATGGTACATTCTGCTTAAATTTTACTCAATGGTATATTGAAATGCTTTATCTTTTTGGTTAATACCCCACATTTTTCTCCAGTGTTAATAGGCCAGCTACCTCTCACCCCCCCCCTCCCCCCGTTCCGTCGATCCGCTCTCTCGCAAAGTACTGCCCAAATTTTTTAGAACATATTGACGACCTCGCAATAATGATGCTTGTATTTTAACACCTACTTTTCTACGTCATACACATAATCATCAGACAATAATTACTCGAATAATATCAATCGCGTTTTACACTGCTACAAAGGGCATTTAAAATTCACCCTATCGTGCTTTACATTTGCCGTCTCGCGGTCATGTCTGTGACACTGGGTTGGGGCAGATTATTTGATAATTCTCTCCATGTGTCGAACTTGGGCATGCAAGAAAGATGTGGCATTAAACCCTCCTACCTGTGAATTGAACTTGAGTGGGACGGGGTGCTGCTGGGTTTCAAAGTGACCCAACCATGATAGTGACTGCAAGAAGGTCACAAGTTCATTCGATTCGCTTTCTGGGATCTGTGATTTCATAACATAATCACGAACCCCCCCCCTCCCTCTCCTTGGTAGGTCTATCTATCTCACTATATCTCTCACATCTCACTCACGTATATTTCTCTCTATCTCTTCCTCTTTCTCTTCTTTCTTCTTGAACTATATATTTCTTATTACCGTTCTCTTTCCTCATTCTCCTTAATGATATTATATTTCTGTATCTTTTTATGAAGTTTTGTCTCTTTTTAATTCCTTTCTTCTTTCTAAAACATAAATTTACTTTCTTCCGATTCCATATCTTTATTTTTATCCTTCTCTTTCTCGTTTTCTTTTTTATCTGTCTTCTTTCCTTTTTTGATAGAATCTCTGTCTGAAAAACGATTTTTATAAACGATAAGGAATTTTACGAAATACCCATAATACTCTAACAAGTATATTATACAGAAATGGGAAAGCATATCGCAAACGACGGAAACGTGGACTACAGATAGATTCAGAATGAACTTACGACCTTTCTAAACCGGTATAGTTACATAACATACTGTCTGGAATTTACAAAACCTTGTTCGAGAGGTGTTAGCAGCCCATGTAGTTTTCATGGCTTGACCGTATTGTTCGCGTGCAAAGGCAATTCTTGTTCAGAGTAATGCAGCCCCAAACTCACGCAAAGAATCCCTGAAATTTTGGGGCGCAAGTATCAATTTTACTTGATGTGCAAGAAAGAAGCAACATTTGCCTCATCCGAAGATTGATTATCTTAACGGATATTATTACTAGCTCTCACTGACTTCGGTTTGAACCTGTGATCACGCGCAGTGGCGGATCCAGGTGGGGCCCGGGGGGCCCGGCCCCCCCCCCCTCCCCTGGGAAAAAAAAAAGAAGGAAAAAAAAAGGAGGGGTAAAAAAAAGGAAAAAAAAAAGGAGGAAAAAAAAAGAAGGGAAAAAAAGAAGGAAAAAAAAAAAGAAGGGAAAAAAAGGAGGGAAAAAGAGAGAGAGAGAGAGAAGGAAAAGAAGGGAGAGAGGAGAGAAAGGGAAAAAAAAGAAGAGGAAGAAAAGAAAAGGAGGAAGAAGTGATCGGGGGGGGGGCGAAAGAGCCTCGCCTCCCAGGCTGTCGCCTACCCCCTCCCCCAACCAACAAAATAAGAGAGAAGGAAGGAAATAGAAAGAAGGGGATATTAGTCGCAATTTTTCCGCCAACAAGTTGTGTATCTGGGTGGGGGTGAGACAAAATGCCCTTGCCTCCCCCCGCCCCGCTAAATAAAGAGAAGACGCGAGGATGGGAGGGGGGGGGGAAACTGAATTCAGACGAGGATTAAGACTCGAGAACGGTACAACGAATCGTCTTCTCTCTCTAATGATTTAATGAAACGTAAAAGTATCCGCGCTTTGCGCGGGAGGGGGAAGGGAAAACTGAATTCAGACAAGGATTAAGGGTCGAAAACGGTACAACGAATCATCTTCTTTCTCTAATAATTTAATGAAAGGTAAAAGCTTCCGCGCTTCGCGCAGGAGGTGGGGTAACTGAATTTAGATAAGGATTAAAAGTCGAGAACGGTACAACGAATCGTCTTCTTTCTCTAATGATTTAATGAAACGTAAAACGCTTCTGCACTTCGCGCGCGAGGATGGGAGGGGGGGGGGGAAACTGAATTCAGACGAGGATTAAGAGTCGAGAACGGTACAACGAATCGTCTTCTCTCTCTAATGATTTAATGAAACGTAAAAGGATCCGCGCTTCGCGCGCAAAGGAGGGGGGGGGAAAAGAATTTAGACGAGGATTAAAAGTAAAAAACGGTACAACGAATCGTCTTCTCTCTCTAATGATTTAATGAAACGTAAAAGCATCCGCGCTTCGCGCAGGAGGTGGGGCAACTGAATTTAGACGAGGATTAAGAGAAAAAACGGTACAACGAATCGTCTTCTTTCTCTAATGATTTAATGAAACGTAAAAGCTTCCGCGCTTCGCGCGGGAGGGAGAAAACTGTATTCAGACGAGCAGGCGCGTACGCGAGACCAAAAAAGTGCCCTCCTACCCCCCCCCGCTTATTCAGCGGCTGGTTGAGTCATTGCGATTTTTTTTTTTGGGGGGGGGGGGACCAAAAAAAGAAGAAGTGGGGTCCCCCCTAAGAAATCCTGGATCCGCGTCTGATCACTCGGTTCTGATGTACCAGAACCACGAAGCCATCGCTCCTGCAGATCGAACCCCGTTTTGAGAAATAGCTCGTTTTGTCTTTGATTGTATCTTAGCCCAAAGGATTTTAAGCGTGAGCTGACACTTGCTTCTGTGACAAATTTTATCAGGCTTTATTTTGGTTTGTATGGGGTTAGGGTTAGGATTGCAATTGGGATTCAGGTTAGGTCCATGGTCAGGGTTAGGTCCATGGTTAGGTATAGCGTTAATTGGGTCCAGGGTTTAAGTTAGGAATTCGGTTAGTATAGGACCGAGAAGCAATATTATTGTCGCAGGAGCATTATGGCGCACAGCCATGGACCTAACACATGTCATAATGCAATTAGTTTTCTGAATAAAAACTGAGGCAAACCATTTTAGTGTGTTAAGTCGATGGTACACTTCACAGTTTGCAGGTCCATGTATAGTATATAAATTATTTGCAGTGTGTGAAACCGTGAGGACAACCTATACATTTACCACATGCGAAAGATTCTTAACGTGTCAAAAGAGAGACACTCACGTGGTGGCCATATGTCCACTATATGTCCTCTTATCCTATTATTCTTTGCCAGTGCAAAAGGTCATTCCTTTTTCCCATTTCTCCTCTCCCTTTTCCTGTGGAAAAAAGAGAGAGAGATCGCCAAAATGTCAGCATCGTCCTGCATGCATGGACCAGGTTGTAGTTTCCCCTGTGTTGATGCATGCATGTCATGTCTCTTAATAACCCGTTACCCTTTCAGCAACCTCTCTTGATCTAGACCGAAAGGCCACACCTTCCCGTTGAAGAACAAGACCAAGATCTCTCAGGACTGTACAGACCCATGCAGTGGAAATGCATAAAAAACAAAATGAAACTGTCTTCGACGTCTATCTTTTAAATTCTTATTTTCGATGGGCGACTTCGTTCACTATAAATGCACTTTGTTGAACAGGCCTGTTTCTATTAATCACAAACATAATATAGTCCTACTGCTTAATCTGTTCTTTTTTCATTATTTTAAAAATCTGTACCACCTAATTGATGTTTCTTGAATTGCCTTCGGGTGGATATTACATACAGTCATGTCGATAAATGCCATATTGATGTGAGAGCCTGAGAGGTCGAGCGACCCTTCCTATCTTTGAAGCTTCGCTGAGGTCTTCCGACTCAGAAGACTATGATTTCAAGTAGAACAAATTGGAGCAATTCAATATTCTTAGGTAAGGGGCGATGCTTCCTGCCTAGCTAACAAACTTTTTAAATCTGCACTTTCTGCCACCGTTTTTTCAATCATCTTTGTTATTGTTGCCATTATTTTGTCTTTTTATTTATCCTACTGCAGCCACTCTACAGATTACACCGGCGTCGATACAACTATGGCTAAAATTACTTATTAGACGGGCAGACAAAATCGAATAAGGGAAACGGCGGGTGAATGTATAATAGCCTTAGGGGAGTTGGGGAGTGGGGAGGGGTGTAATATTATTAGGGGTTCCTGTGAAATAATGTATAATGACTATAAAGGGGCACCTTTATTCATAACCATTCCTTGGCCTCGAGCCCAAGCATAAATTTAATCATGAGGGTAATTTTAAAGGCTTTTCACTTCCTTTTCAGGACTGGGAGACTGATGAGGATTATGACATTTGGGGCTATAGTTCGTTTTATACACCGTATTCATTTTTTAATGATATTGCAAATCCTACTCGGTTATGGTACATCACATATTCAACAATGTTTCCATGTGCTTCCAAAGAGCTTTGGATTATCATTCCGCCAGATGATGGTAAAATCTACAATAGGATAATAACAATAATAATAATTAATCGAAAAGTTAAGAATAAAAATAATAATGTGGATTTACATAGGCGATTAATACGAAATACAGTCTCTAATGCCTGGATTACATTTGGCCTGCGATTAGTCTACGGAGCCCGTATCCTGCTCGTATCCCCTTTTCCGTGCGGCCTCTGTGCAGTGGCAGGAGGCGGCCGTGAGATTTTCGTACGGATTCACGGGCTCCGCAGCCTTTACGATTTT